AGCAGCATTTTCAGCTTCTGAGACACCTGAGATACTAGAACAACTTGTTAAATCCTTTAAAGCTAAAAAAACTATTAGTTTTTATAGGCATTTGTTATTAATAAATCAATTTGATATGCAGATGCTGAGAGATGAGTGGAATAAAGAATTAGAAATTCCTATATTGCTTAGACAATGGGACAGTGTCTTAACTTATATAGCAAGAATGTCAATGGACCTTAAACTACGACTTATACAACAAAAAATATTTAGAATTTATTGGCTCTGTTACATTTGTATAGAAAAGGATTGTCTAAGACAGCATTTTGTTGGAGATGTAATAAGGACAACACTTCTTTAAAACACATGTTTTTACAGTGTCCTATACTTACTTAGTTTTGAGAGAAAGTACTGGACCATATAAATGTAACTGACAAAAGCTAAAATTTTCAGAGGATAATATTCTCTTGAATTACATACCTAGTACATGGAATTTGACAACTGGACAACATAAATGGATTCTCTGTGCCCTTACTATGGCTAAAAGACTGATATTGCAGTATTGGAAAGATAAATGTATGGCCCCATTTACTCAATCCCCACTTATGAACGGATGGCCTATAGACGTAGACTTTGTATGGACAACTATAATGAAATATAGGATTCATTAATACAAAATACAGTAGATTAAAAAAACATGATAGTCATGTAAATGTATTAGAAATATATACATACTTGAATAATATTTGCATTAGATAAGTATATATAGAATTGTAACTTTACTGTTATGACAATGACATATACTGGGGTTTTTTTGTTGTACTTTTTCACTTTTTTATAAAGCACTTTTCATCTTTTTTTCTTTGACTATATATGTATCTCCATCATTATCATTGTGTTTTGCTTTTTTTTCTTATTTTCTTAAAAAATAAACATTTTTTTAAAAAAGGATTTGCAATTTACACATCTCTTAAGGTGATGTATGTGGGAACATGGATGAAGCAATATATGAACTGGCCAGTTTTCACATTTTCTACAGCATATTGTTGCAGAAGGATGTTGAGGACTACTGGAATAAACTGATCAACAGGTATAAATATAGGCTTCATTCATCACATGAAGCACTACATAGATGTGGCGGGGCAGCACTTGGCCTTTGAGCAGGGTTACCACCTTTCCAATTTTGAGCAGAGAGACTGGGCTTTAGCTCCTTATATCTGGGCTCCAACAACATCTGTATGTAAATGAAAATGATTTCTCTAACTTCTGAAGTGACGTTGAACTTGATAAATATATGTTCTTTTTAAAATCTAAACAATCTCTGAATGCAGCTGCTTGTTACCGCTAGATGCTACTGTGATAGATCTTTGCCAACATGCCCTTTGTCTCTCCAAAGCCTGGAGAACCCTGAAGAGGATCAAGCCCAGATGATCTTGGAGATAAATCTGGGAGAAAGTCTATTCCTTTCTTGTTTTTCTCCATTCCCTTTCCTCCCCGCCCCCCCAAAAAAACCCAAGGCCAAACCAATTTTCTTTTGTTTACATTTCCAGGTAACCTTGCCTTTGAATGGCATGCCTGAAACACTGAGACCTAGATTAGATATATTATAGGAGTGGTCTGGTGGTTTTCCAAATGTTAATCCTCAACATTAGAAATAGTGCTTGGTTCCAGGTCCATTTTGTCCACAACACCATAAGAAACAGGACACAGGTATCATAGATAAAAATCTAAACTAGATTTCCTTTCCATTTAATTAAAATTTACTTAACAAGTTATTTCCCCATCATGTTTTCAGTTTTATTTTTTCTTAGCACTTTAATCACAATTTCAGAGCAACATCTGGGGGTCTTTGAAAGTCTGCACCCAAAGCTTTTGATTCTCTTCAGCTCTGGGACCCCAAGTTATGTCCTCTGTTTTGCAACAGAAATTGCTGCTGTGCCATTGGTACTCTTCATGCTCAAATGCAAGACTATTACATTATGCTTTTGCCTAAAGGTTGCCCTGTTTAAACTAGAATCTTGGCAATCTCAGAAACAAAACAGATTTCCTTCCACTTGCAGAAGACTGACAGAACTTGAATTCGATTATTTAATGTGATTAAACCTTGGATATAGAAAGAACAGTAGACAATACAACAGAGTTTGTTTCTGTAATCTCTATGATATACATTTAAAATCTTACTTTTAGAACGTGATTTTTTTTTTTTCAGATATACACATTTGTTGAAAAAAAGATCACCCATTTTGTTCAAGGATTGTCTTACGGTTAAACAGCTGTCCCTCACATACTTCTGTTTATAAAATTAAATTACTGCTTTTGCTGGAAAAAAACAAACCATTACTTATTCCCAGTTTCTGAAAAGGAGTATCTACGCAAGGAATTATTACATTTTACCTGCTAGTGGAGGCTAACCAGTGAGATTTGTAGTATTTGTATTAAATTCTCATTACCAGAACTATGACTCGTCACCGACACAACTGTTTTATATCCGTAATTTCCAACACCCTGCCACTACTGTAGCTTATTTTCGTAGGGGAGGGGACGTTGGGAAAACTGTAGAGGAAACTGTAAGTACGTGCTAATTCATTTTACAGAAACTACAATTCCCAGCATTCCTGGGCAATAGCCGGAAGTCCTTTAAAGCCTTGCCTCTTGGGCTTTGACGTGCGAGACTCAATGTCTGGACTCTGTGTGCGTATGCATGCATATATATAGCTGTTCTTTCTCTGAATGGCGATAAGAACTGCCAATGGAAAGACTAGAACAATAGCAACGTTGTGACTATCAGATATCTTTTTCCCGTCCATCCAAACGCAGGAATTCACACTTAATGTCATTTGAAATGGACGCAGGAGTTTTCTTAGCTTGTTTATTTTTTTAATTTGGAAGTGTGTCATTACCCGCCCGGGCAACAACTGCAGTGCTGCGGCCCCGAACCACTCCGTTCTCCAAGATCATAGCCCTGAAAATGTGACGTAGGTGAATAGTGGCACTTCTGCTACAGCCCAGTATTCCACTCGGAGCTGCCCAGGTTCTCCACAATCGCATTCGCATTTCCGAGGCTAACTGGCGTCCATTAAGCCGTTGTTGCTCCGAGCACCAACGTGAAGTCGCGTTTCCAATCTCCCCAAGCCTCGCTCTTTTCTTGCCCCCGCCGCCTGTTCAGGATATTACGAACACGTCTGCTGTAGCAAAAGTGCCAATGTTTCGGGAGCAGGACGACTCCCTGCTATTACCTTCAATGGGTCGTTCTAAATTCTGCCCTTGGCGTAATTCTCAAACATGGCTTGGTCCAAGATGAAGCCGGAAATTACGTATTCCGGCCGAGAGACCGGTCGCTAGAGCAAATTCTTATCTCTGAGGGCGACAGCCACGTCCAGGTTGGGAGGCAGCTGCCTGTTTGTTCCACGTATCACTGTATCCGGGAGCGCGTAACGCGAGATCAGGTGATACAAGCCTTTGGTCTCATTGGGCCGGGGACACGGTTGGGTCATGTGACCGGAAGGGAACCCGGAAGCAGCCTAGCGGCAGGATTCCGGTTTCCTTGGCTACGCCAGAGAAAGGGAGGGTAATTGAAGAGAGAGAAGCCGAGCGAAGGGCTGGTCCCTCGTCTTGTGTGGCGGCCGTGCTGTTGAAGGGATGGGACAGAGCCGGGCCTAGCGGGGCAGCTGCCGCTATGAGCGGAGCAGCAGCTGGTGGTGAGGGAAGGAGCGGCAACTCCCTGGCAGGCCGTTGGTCTGGCTGGAAACTGCTGGCTTTGGGCCTCCTCTCCGCTTCTTCGGTGTTGGCGGCAGCGCCGGCTGCGCAGGCTATGAGCAGGGAGGAGAAGCGTCATCTCGGGTAAGAGCGCTTTTCCCGTCGCCCGCCTTTTTCTGTGCAGCACAGCCTGGGCAGGCTGCCTTGGTTGGGTTCACACCGCACGCTCGACGAGGATGTCTTTGGCCCTGTGCGTTGTGCGAACCGTGGTTTTGTGAAGCAAAGGGTGAGCATATTGTGTCACGGCCCGAGGAAGGAGTGATGTTGCCTTCTTTAACCTGACACGCTGACGGCTGGCTTCAAGCTGTCTTTGAGGCAGAACGAAGATATCCAAGCTCGTCGTTTAGTCTGTCCTTAAATTCAATGTAAAGCTGGACAATAAATCTGTAAAGTTGTAAACCAGTAAAGCTGGTACTGTGTAGGTTCTCAAAGTCTATGTCGTATTTCATTAGTTTTCCCCCGCCCTCAGAAAATTTTCTCCACCTACCATATTTTCTGTGAAGCTTTCCTGTCTAGAAATTATTCTTGTCACAGATTAGTAATTATTTGCAAAACAAGGATGTAAGAAATTAGGTTAGTCAAAGTGAGAAATGCAACATCTGTTTTATATTGGTTGTTAATAACTGTTCAGAACAAAAGCTGTTATTAAGAACAGAAAGATGGAGGGTTTTTTTAAACTGAAGAACACAGTTCCCCAGGTTTAGAGCATGCTATCAGGATCATAAACAGGGGGCAATTTTGGGAGGCTGTTTGACTTTTGGAGAAGAGATGGTTATATATTTACAAAGCTAAGTATAACTAAACCATCATTGAGGCTGACCAAAAAACAAGCATGAGTGAATATCACGTAAGTTCAAAAAGGTAAATTGATAACCCAGAAGGTTGTTTTGTCTGAATTAATAAACATACTAATATACTTATGCAAATACAGTTTTGTGCAACCAAATTTTATCTAGGAGTAATTATAGATTCATACTTGTACCTAGTCAATATTTCATTTTGAGCAGAAGGAATATATAATTATATTTGAGTACACATGGATCTTGTTCTAGAAAATTATGTTCTTACAATTTGAAGCTCAATTATATAAATTCAGTGAACTTTTCTTCCTAGTTGGTATGTTGTTGCATTTGTTAGGTGGGTTGGAGCACCTTTCTTTTGTTCATTTTGGTATTTCAAGGAAAAGTAAGTTTTGCTGCTCACTTTTCAGTGAGGCATGCTTCCACATGTGTTTATCTGGAAGCAGTATGATGGTTGTTCTAATATTTCAAGAGCTAGGTACAAATGCATTTCATATAAAATTTTATATACAGTATGTAGTCTAACATATTGGCAAAGAGGACTGAATCTCTCCCATGTTTGAAAGAAACTTTGGAACTTGCTTCTCAGAGAAATGCTTTTTATCTCTTTGCTGTTGACCTCCTTTGAGGACAGTTGAGGGCCCTGTAAACTGTAATGCTATCTGGACAATATAATTACTTCTAATGGTTGGATATTTTGCTATTCGTGGATAATCTTGTTAGCTGTGCTAACAACAGTGCTTTGTTGTGAAATACTAGATTCTTCAAAAAAGTTATGACAAATACTGAGCCTACTTAAAAATATAAGGGATATCAGATGCTGGTATTTCCTAGAATAAAACCAAAAAATGTGCATGCTCCACATAACAGTGCCACATAAGCATCCAAGGAGCCTGAGTAGAGCAAATATCTTCAGTGTATATATCTACTAATAATCAAGGATCCACGTACACATTACATTTATAGTATTTTCACATTTCAGGTGTGTGTTTTTTTAACAGTCATAAAATTACATTTAGCCTATGGCAGAAAATAATTTCTTTTCAGTTTTTGAGAGCAACAATAGGAAAAAACTGTTGTCTTCATGTTTGCAGATTTCCTGGAGGCCTGTGGTCTTTATGGAAAAAACTTTGATTAATTTGGGGGGTCCAAATTAGGAATTTCCTAGTTTATAGCTTGGTCACTTGACTATTACGCTAACTGCAGTATTCTAATAAAGTCAGTCTTTGGCATGAAAATGCATCTGTGTTCATCATAAGATTTAAAGAACCTTATTTACTACCACTTCCTCTTGGAGGAGCTATTTAATGATGACATGCAATTGTGTACATATTTACTCAAAAGCAAATGACTTATTTTTGACTGAGATTTGTTCCTATGTAAGTATATATAGGATTGCAGTCTGAGGTATAATCCTGATTTACCCCTGAATAATCATGCATTATGTGTACAGTATAAATTGATTGACATATTGCTATATATACTCGTATAGATACAATGAGTCTTGTAACAAACTCAATGACAATTGTATTCATTGGCACATTTTTTTGTAATACCTTAAAGCAGAGTTAGTAATGCACATATGAATTTGGGTTACAACTTGTGATTTCATGAAAATGTCTGTGTAATTTTCTTGGCAACTGTACAGAAATTATTTGTCTCCTTCCAGGATATTTTTGACTTCCGAACCTAGCCTACTGTCCTGCACTTTCCTTATAGTGTAGTTTCCCTTCTAATCATATCTGACCCTTCTTAGCTTTTTCAGAGAAGCTAAAGTGAACTAAGTACTGTCTAACTGAGCATAAAAATCACATTAGCATTGAAGCTAACTGCTTGGAAAGCACAATAGATACATGGATCTCTCTTTTTGGAACTGGACAGCATATACATTAATATTTTTTTTTATTTATTTATTTATTTATTTATTTATTTATTTGGCTTGTATGCCGCCCATC